GTCCTCTCCTGCCTCCGCCCCCCACCCGCAGCCGCTCCGGGCAGCCACCTTTTCCACCCTCCTTCCACTCAAATGGGTCTCTTTTTTATACGACACACTGTTAGCCTTGAGATAATATTAACTTTGTGATCAAATATTGACTTGCGGCGCCTCCAAATCCTCTTCGTGGTCGAGCCACGCACTATCCTAACAGAGTTATGTTTGGCAGCGCGCGGCTGGGGAGGGGTAAGAGTTCGGCGGCGAGGGGGTGGGGAGCCGGAGGGAAGAAGGTGGGCACGAGTGGGGGGCTGAGGTACAGGAGAGGAGTTAAAGACTCAGAGGACAAAGAGAAAGTTGGTGGCTGCAAACCCCAGCCGCCCGAGTTCAGTTTGCCGTCCCCTCCCTATCCTTTCATTCAAAGCCTCCGGCTGGCCCCAGGCTCCGCTCAGGCCCGGAGTTTCGGTTCCCCCGGGGCCAAGAATGGGCTTCTGGGAGGAAAACCGAACAGAGAGGAACTTGGGACAGTCCTCCCTTGAGGCCACCCGTATCGCCCTGCGCGGGGTCCCACAGGTTGCTCGCTATGGCCCTGGCGGCAACTCACTGTGCTGGCCAGAGTGGTGGGAGACTCGGGGCAGGGCAGAGATTCTGAGGTGCCTGGCTTGGGGAGCTCCAGGGGCCCCTTGTTTTAGAATCCGAGCCCGGCGGAGAAGGGCTAGGAACTAGCCACGCTCACAGAGCAGCAGCCCTCTGGCCACCTCTTCAAAGGCGATCAGGGCGCTCTCTGAGTGAACCGGACTGGGGGTGCCGGAGGGGGAGAAGTGGGGGGTACGAGGGATGGACTCCCCAGGGGGTCAGAGCTGACCTGGTAGCTGGGAGGTCAGGGCGCAGGGCGCGCTCCCGCCGCGGTGCTAACGCGTGTGCCTCCGCCCCCGGCTTCTGTCCGCAGGGCTACTCATCGGTGAGCAACATGAACGCTGGCCTGGGCATGAACGGCATGAACACCTACATGAGCATGTCGGCGGCCGCCATGGGCAGCGGCTCCGGCAACATGAGCGCAGGCTCGATGAACATGTCGTCGTACGTGGGAGCCGGCATGAGCCCGTCCCTAGCCGGCATGTCCCCCGGGGCGGGCGCCATGG